AGAGCGCTCGCCTTGAGCTGAAGAGCTGAGGGACAGCGCCCAGGCCCAGAGTTCAAGCCCCACGACTGACCAAAAAAAAAAAAAGGTTAATGAGAATAGCTTTGAAATGTACTGTTCAAAAATGTTACCTGTTTCAACAAATTAGCAAACATTTCTTGCTGAAAATGAACCTCACTGAAGGTTATGGTTCACTGCTCAGTCATTTTTCAGATAACTCCTTTAGGAGCCAAGGCTGGAGATGCAACTTGCTAACCGGGTATTGGTTTGTAGTTTGGATAGCCTAACTCCCAGAAGCGGTCCACATTGCTCCTGCCTGATCACTGTTACCTAACGAATTCAGTATGTTACATCAAGAACATTTAGCAAGAGTCGACAATTTAACCTTTGGTTGGATAAACTTAACTAAAAGAAACTTTATTATGTAAGATAAATGCTAAAAGAGAATAAAGTAAGATGTTGCAAGATATGCAGGATTGAGAACCAAAAGAACTTTAAGAGATAAAGTAAAAGCACTGGCCAAGAGCCAGTGGCTCACTCCTGTAGAAGGCTGAAATCTGAGAGGATGGAGGTTCATGACAGCCTGAATAGGAAAATCCATGAAACTCTTATCTGCAATTAACCATGAGACATTAACCATGGAGTTGTGGCTCAAGTGGTAGAGCACTAGCCTTGACCAAAAATTGCTCAGGCACTGAGTTCAAGCCCCAGGTCTGGCATAAATAAATCTACACACATTGGGTTTTTCTTTAATCAAATATCAGGATTTCTTTACACAGAACAAACAGGGAATAACCTAGATGTTCATTAAGAGGGGACTGGCTAAATTTATCATAACAGATTCAGCAAATCCATCTTCTAGAAGCAGAATGCAATGGACTTTTGCCCATTGCCATGAGGAAAGATAGGCCTAATACTTTGTGAAAACACTGGTGCTGAGCAGAATATATGGTTACATAGTACATACAGGATATGCACCGAAGTGTCTGAACATAAATAGGTGTTTCTAGAAGGAAACATACTTTTCCTCTCTGAAGAGTGGGAATGAGGCAGGAAATGAGAGAAAGCTTTGTGGGTTTTTTTGTTTGTTTGTTTGTTTTTACTGTATGTACTTTTCTTCCATCTATCTTATCCAAGCCTTTTTCCTTTTTTTTTGACCCAAGTAAAGGCACTATTTTAAGCAAAGATTCAAAATGATTCAAAATTAATTTCAACATGAGTTCAGTTTTGGAAGTAAAGGTCAACATTTAGGTGGTGAAGAATGAATTGCATGAGCTGGGAATGTGGCTTAGTGGTAGAGTGCTTGCCTAGCATGCATGAAGCCCTGGGTTCGATTCCTCAGTACCACATAAACAGAAAAAGCTGGAAGTGGCACTGTGGCTCAAGTGGTAGTGTGCTAGCCTTGAGCAAAAGAAGCTCAGGGACAGGGCCCAGGCCCTGAGTTCAAGCCCCAGGACTGGCAAAAAAAAAAAAAGAATGTACTGAGGTAATAGTTGTTGTTGGGATGGTGATGGTGTGTGTGTGTGTGTGTGTGCTTGAGTTCAGTGCTTTGTGTTTGCCCTTGGCTTTTTTATTCAGCTTTTTGTGCTCATGGCTGGCACTTTACCACTTGGGCCACATCTCCAGTCCATCATTTTACTAGCTATCATTGGAGATGTGAATCCCTTGTTTGTTTCTGTCTGGGCTTGCATCCACTCTCCAACCCTCACGTCTCAACTTCCCGAGTAGCTTGGATGATAGTCACGAGCCACGCACAGCCAGCCAGTGGAGAGGCCATGACTCACTCCTGTCATCGCAGAGCCTGGGAGGGGGAGGCAGGAGGATTAAGAACGCGAGGCCAGCCTGAGCTACCTAGTGAGACCCGGTCTCAAAAAAACAAGACAAAAATAGACGTCTTCAGGTCGAAGTTACACGCCGCACAGTCACCCACGGCCAAGCACACGAGTCCACGAAGGAGGCATTGTGCAGAGTTACAAGGACGCATTCGACACGAGCAACACCACCATCTTTTATGTAATCACCGACACGGATCGCTGTCGTCTGTATCTTCAGAACTATCAGAGGCCGGGGGGCGGGGGGGTGTCAAAAGCTAAACCTGTTTCGTGCTGGCAAGTAGGGTTAAATAATAATCGGCTTTGAGATGAACGAAGACAAGGTCGGAGCTACAATCACCCAAGGGTGGGGGGAAGGGGAATCAAAGTAAGGAAAAGAGCAACCCGAGCAGAGCCAGACCGGATCCCTACGAACAAGGACACATGGAGACAGAAAACAAGCTCTGCTCGATGACCCTCCCAAACACACACACACACACTGCGCACCCCAAAACAGCTGCGAGGGGGCGCCTCCCCGACAAAGCCGAGCGCTTTCCCTTTCTTGCCATCTGTGAACTTGGAGCTAGTTATCCCCCCTCCCCGCTGACCCCAGGCTGTCCACCCAAACCGGAAGTTTGGGGGTGCGCTGTGCCCGATCACCCCCTCCCCACTTTCCGCAGACCCCCGGGCCCCCGGCCCTCCGCCCGCGAAGCGCCCCGGCGCGCCCCGGCCCGATTCCCACCTGTGCCCTGCAGCATGTTCTGTCGCAGCAGGTCCCCGCTGGAGAGGTGCTTGAGCTCGAAGTGCTGGGTGATGCGGGACGACACGGTGCCCTTGCCCGAGCCGGGGGCCCCCATGATCACGGCGCGCAGCAGCCGCGCGGACGCCCCCATGGCGGTGGGCCAGCAGGGGC